AAAAAAAAAAAAAAAAAAAAAAAAAAAAAAAAAAAAAAAAAAAAAAAAAGAAAGAAAAGAAAATCTCCTAATCTCAGGCAAACAGAACAGTTGGCCATCATCTATACACTACATAATGACACTTTCCATCACAGATGGACTACACAGTTAACAATGGGCCCCATGAGATCTTGTCACCTAATTACCGTAGTGACCATCTTATACACTCTATGATGTTCATCCATGACAAAATTAGCCTCAGAATGCGTTTTCCCAGAATACGTTTCCCAGACTGCATTTCCCAGAATGCATTTCCCAGACTGCATTTCCCAGAAAGCATTTCCCAGACTGCATTTCCCAGAATGTGTCCATCATTCGGGAATGCATGGCTATACGGTGCGTCTCACTTGTTTCTTCACAGTATACTAACAGTATGCTGTCCCATGATGGTGGGAACTTTGAGCCATTTTTATTCTCCGAATATAATGCTGCTGTGAATGACCAGAGCACGGTGTTAGTATCTTCTCATTTATGAAAGGAATAAGGAGCTGATTATTACTGTCGGCGTTAAGTCCAAACCCAGGACAAACAGCTAACTGAGGTGGCTGCTCAGAGCACTGCTCCTAGGTGCGGTGGAGGAGGAAGTTTATTGTAGCGATGAGGGAGAATACAGGCAGGGGCAGAGACAGAGACGGACTGAGAGTCCAGAGTGAACACGGCCAGACTGAGCTGGGCCATGTGAGGAGATGAGGAGACAGGAGCCACAGACCGAGATGGGTGACCTGGGCCAAGGGACTGGCCAGTAGGGTAATGGATAGACCAAAAGGGCCAGGTAACCAAAATGGCTGGATTATATAAAAAAGGGCTGTCGGGAAAAGGCAACCTAGTCTGGGCTGGAGAAGCTTAGGGTAGGGGCCAGGGTATGCCAGCCATACCCTGTAACTGGTAGGAACTAAGGAATGATGGGGAAGCTGGCAGCCAGCTCCACTTTGAAATGTTAAATAGGCACCCCAACCATTTGTTCAGGGTTTGAGTCTTAACAGCTAGGACATAGCTCTTAATGTAAACTGACTGAATTCCCTGTAAATTTACACATAATTAAGACAGATGTGCAAATGAAACTTTCATTGGCATATTGTCAATTATCCTTTATAAATGCTTTATTTTTGTATTTGTGACAGTTACACACCCGTGCGCACACACACACACACACACACACACACACACACACACTGAACAGACAGTCTACCATCTGTAGGGTGTGGAGCGGAACTGACCTAGGGCCCTGCGCTTGCTTTGCTGCAGGCGCCATAATCCTCACGCACGCCTCTCAGAGCCTTGCCTCTGTCTACGAGATGCGCCAGCAGCGCGCATGCGCACGCAGCACCCCTCCTAACTGCCTCCCCCCCCCCCAAATCCTGTAGCCTTGGACCCCTGTGGCAGGGCTGATTGGAAAAGTTGGACCGCAGTCACCACACAGCAGTAACGGCTCTACACCTCCAACTTTTCAAAAGGAAAAGAAATCCAGCAAAGCGTTCAAATCAAAACAACAATCTGTCAGAGGTCCAGCGGGGTCGCTTCAAGAGGTACAGGTAGTTCTGGAAAAGACTTGAAGAGCGAGCAAGGGAGGGAGACGGGGACAAAGTCGTCCTATTCCAGAGAGGAGCTCAGCCTTTAACAATGGAAATGAGGGCTTGGAGGCAATTAAGGAGAACACAAAGACTCCAACAAGTGAAAAGCCTGTGGGAGCATAACAAGAAATGAACTGGAGGAGCTGCGGGGAGGGTAGGTCGGTTGTATCTGTACCTCGGTGTTTGTGCTGGTCAGAGTCACTGAAGTTGCTTTCCTGAGGAAGAAGAGTAGGGTGATTCTGGCTGTGAGGAAGACCCCGCTTTAGGAATTGTATGTGGACCTCCAGTGGGTTTGTCTGGTGACCTATATTTCTAAATGTGCACTCGCTGGGAACGACTTCACCCCGTCTTCTGTTCTCAAATCCATCATTCCTCATTTCAAATCTAGTCTTACACCCCGTCGCCTTGGCTAGCCTCAAGGGTAACGCAATATGAGAAGCAGCATTCCAGGGCTGCTTAGCTGTGTGCCCTAGTCCCAGAGAAAGGCACTCTGGCTCCAGGAACAACCTTTACCTCCTTTTCCCGTAGGATTTTCCCAAGCTGCACTGCTGTCTGGAATCACCCAGGGATCTTAAACAGCACTGTTGTCTGTCCACATCCACGCTTGATCTCAGAGCCCACGCGCTAGGATTCCTACGCTCTCCCTGGCTGGTTCCCCCATGAGAGAACCGCTGCTCAAGCTGATATGCTTCTAAATAAATTTCCTGAGGCTTTATCTCACCAGTTTGCCAAGGGAAATGGGAGAGGAAGCCAAGCTAAGTAGAGTAGAGCTAGAAGGTTGGTAGCTGGGCTAAGGGTGAAAAAGCAGAAGAGACTGCCCCAGTCCCCAAACCTAAATGGCAACATTTCCGAGACACTTTTAAGGCAATAACCAATTGCAAACGTGAATAGAACACTGAAGACATAGCAGAAATGTGTCAAATTGGCTCGAATTAGGCTGGCCAGAGCTCGACAGACCACAACACAGCAAATCAAAGCCAAACTGTGGTGGCATCACTGGAGCAATGCATCCGAGTCACAGCAGACCATGGGGTCCTAGTCCAGGTCTTTATTTAGTGGGTGCTGGTGGAGTAAAAGCATGAATATTTCTAGCAAGTTCTGAGCTCTGTGGTTGCTGCTGCTGCTGAAGGAATCCGGCCAGGAAACCTCAGTCCACGAGGAGCCTGACACTTCCGCCCACAGCTGCTCAAGGCTGTGTGGATGTGGTCTGCCTTAGCCTTCTTCAAAGTGCTGTCAGATCAGACTGAATGAAACAAGGAAACCTCAGGCCAAAACTGAGGAATTGGCTAGAACCAGAACATTATTGAAATATTTGGAATTATGAACTGCTTTTATCTCCTGTGACCCTTTTAGTATTTACTTTAAAGAACTGGGCTTCGAGGATACTATGATATTTGGTAAAATGATACAAAGACTCAAACGAATCAGTAAAACACCTTGGTAGGTTTTGGCTTGTGGGAAAAGCTCTACCTGGGGTTATAAATATTAAAATATTTGTGGTGTGGTGGTGGTAGATGACTTTGCTGAGAGAGCGGAAGCCGAGTAGAATATATGCCTTCTCATTCCTCCATCTTCTCAGATCAGTAGACTAGAAAACTAGTGCATAAAAACACAGTTCAATAATAGTGGATGAGTATTTGTTTAATCCTAGGATGGGTGCAATCCAGCAAAGCGTAAGGGTGTGGGAAAGAGGACTTTGATTTTAATGGGCGCTGCCGAGCCTGATCGGTGGCTCAGGTGGCTCAGGCAAGACGCTAGCACGCAGCCAGAGGACAGCAGCTGGTGGTTTCTCTCTGTGCTGGTTTGCTGCCTTGTAGGTATTCAGAAGCCTGCAGGGCGACCATGCTAAAAGCTGCCAGGCAAAGATCAGCCTCTCCTTTGTTGCTGTTTAGAGATTTGGGGAATTGGTTTTGGTTTGTTTTGTTTGGGTTTGGTTTTTATTTTATTTTATTTTGTACAGTGACTTATAGAAATAAGACCAAAATCACAGGAAAGCAGAAAAAAATGGTATGTTTTCCCTAAAGCATGCTTAGTCAAAACCTTCTGGGCCCTGGATTTTCATACTCACTACTCAGAGAAATTTTAAGTGACTTCCCAGCTTTCTGGGGTTCTTTATCTATGCATCTCTGACTTTAACTCAGGAAACTTTCAATTGTTTTGCTCACCCACAGTAACAGACTGCTACATGGACATTTTCTCATCTTCATTTCCACAGGGGAAATGTAGCTGTACCAAAATACGGATTTCTTTTTAGTAGGGAAAAACTCAATACTGTTCTTTAAAAAAAAAAATAGGAAAAGCTGTAGCCATTCTTTTAAAGGAGCAATCGAAGCAGTAGAAGCAGTGGCCGCATTTGGATACTGAGAATTGAACCCGGGACTGGCACGCATTGAGCATACGTTCTTGCTGGGCTACACCTCCCTCAGCCATTCCAGCTGACTCACTTGCTGATGATGAGCGTCTCCTCCCCGCTGATCCAGACCCTCACGAGCTCTCCGTAGGTCTTATTGTAGTAGTTGCAGGCACTTCCAATCCCCATCCACAGGAACCTGCCATGGGAAATGAGGGGCCCAATTCCCAGACAGTAGCCAGGACCTACAACAAGAGGTGAGACGATAGTGAACTTCTGAATAACCTCCAAAACTGTTGTTCTTTCGTATCAAACAACTTTTTTTTTAATTTTTACATCTTCTGGTCTATATGTGAGTCACTCAATGTGGTTTAAAACAAAACCAAGTATACCGCAAGGCTCTCTACCTCTTCACGCGTGAAAAGCCCATGGCTTCACACTTGCTTCTCTTGACCTGTCATTTCGGCGCCATGCTGATTTCTGAGAGTCACAAATGAAAATCGGTTCATCTGCATGGCAATAAACATAGGCACTGTGAGGGAAGGACCAAGCTGATGGACTCAATGGCATCCTGCCGCTCTCGCCTGGAAGCTCTCAGTTGACAGAATGCCTCCATCAGAGCTGAGCCTGGCTTCCTTTCATGTGAAGGTCTGCAAGGATGATGTCCAATCCCAAAACATCTGCTGCCTTTAAGGCTCAGCTTATAAAAAGGAGTCTTAAGAAAAAAAAATCTCATGAGGTAATGCAAACCTGAGAACTCATTTTTTTACAATGAAGAACTCATTATCTACGCTACAGCTCATGGAGCAAGGTCTGGTTTCAGCCTTAGCACTTAGCCTTGCTCACATGGACAAAGGTAGGAGATAGCATCGTTCATAGCGTGATCTGGGCGGGGGGGGGGGGGGGGGGGGG